AGGCCAGGAACACACATGCGTAAAATTCGGCGTAAAATCTAGCATAAAACAGAAAACGTAAAAATTTTTCTGAAATTTTGGCTGAAACAAAACTGAAAATAGAGTAGAGCATGTCTCTACTTTTTACGCCGAAAAATTTTTACGCCAAAATTCCTCCAATAAAGAGAAGTCTTTCCTGTGACGTCGAAGTAGACACGTGGTTTTTATTCTAACAATGGCGGCAATGAGGGTTAACCCTACAATTGTGATGGTCTCGAAAAAACGAAAAATAAATGAAATAGAGGAGTTTATTGAATCCGTTCGACCAAATCAGTGTCATGTATAAAGACACTGTATTTAAACAACGTTTATGGATGGCTACAGGTGTTAAATTTCAAATAACAGGTAAGTCTAGTAGAATCGATATATAGGCCTAGTATTTATATCACACGTTCTTTATTTGAATTTGGAATACGAGTCTATTAATTTAAATTTTCTATATTATAGCAGAGGAAGTGTAGAAAAAATGGAAGGTACAAAGGGATAGATAGCCTATATGAGAGGAAAAAATTAATAAAATTAGCACTGTTGGTGGCACCACTGCCACCAACAGTGCTAATTTTCGGCCAGAATTTTTACGTATGTGTGTTCTGGCATAAAAGCGTAAAACAGAAACTAAACTGAAAGCTGATTTCTGATTCAGTTTTCTGTCACACAATTTTACGCGTGTGTGTTCCTGGCCTAAGAGTGTTGATATAATTAAAATAATAATTTATTTCATATTTTTAAACTAAATTTTCACATTTTGTTAACCATTGCCATCATATATTATGTTTATTTTATAATGGCATATAATTTTGTATTTTTAAATTTTTATGTTCCATGCTCTTGCACAAAGAGCAATTTAAAAATGTGTTCTATCTCTAGATTTATAATGTTCCATCCACCACATTATCTGAAGATGATGTTTATGCACTGTCAAAAGTACTTGTTAATTAAATATATTTACCAGTAATGCCAATAAACAGCTTTTATATTTTCATTTATTTTTAGTAAGTGGCATCACTTGTTTTTTTCTCATCAAATATAGTTAAGTCTGAAATTAAAAGCTAAAGGTTAACTTTATATTTTAACTTTTGTAATGGGTTATTATTAAGTTTTTCATAAATATCATCATTTAATGTCTCATCTACTATTGAATTATAATTTTCAATATTCCATCACTATTTTTTTAGTTTTGTCAGATTAATTAATTTTAATTTATCATCATTCAAAAACATATTTGCTCATTCTATAATACTTTTATTACTATTTAAATTAATATATATATATATATAATTAAATAAATCAAAGAAAAGTCTGTCCAAGAGGGATCACCATTTATTTTGCATTCCAGACTACACATCAATAGAGACAGGCCTTCCTTTTTAGGCTTCATGCCGCCAAAAGGTAAAAAAGTCCTTTAAAAACACAAACAACCAATTAAAAGTNATTCTTTTATTATAAATATAAAAATGGCGGGTTTATTACTGTTATAATAAATCCTTACCAAAATTCGGCGGCAACTGTTGGACCACGTTTTCTTGTCTTAGTTGCTGCTTTCTTTTCTTTCTTAGGAATGTCGGTGGTGTTAGAATTCTGTGCCCCTTTATTACTACGAAGAGCCCTCTTAAGAGGTGGTGTCGACGTTTTTTCTTTACTATTTGAATTTTTAACTTTCTTTTCCTCCTCGTCGGTTTTCGTTTCACTTTTCTCCACCTTCTCTTCTTCCGGTTTTACATCGACGTCATTCGTTTCTTCATTCTTCGTATCCTTCTCTTCTTCGTTAGTAGTTTCTTCGGGATTATTATCGGTCTTTTTAGTTTTAGATTCGTTTTGATTCTTGGTTTCCGCACCACGTTTCCTCCCGCCTCGCTTCTTCGCTGCCATTTTGATTCGAAACGGTCGACAGACTCCTTATCTAATGGCTGCTTATAAACCTGCTTTCAAATTCGCGCCCAACCGGATCGAACCGGTTCTTATTCATTATATTAATTCATCCATTACAAACCCTACCTATAACTAATGTTATTCTTGTCACGTTTTTGTAACCTGGTAATGCTTCCTGCAGAGCCAGGTATGTAACACAATTTGTGTACCTTATAATAAATAACGA